GTGTCCATGAAGGCTGGAAGAGGGCTTGGAAACTGGAGCTACAGGCATTGTCAGGCACCAGACAGGGTTGCTGGGAACTGAACTCTGATCCTCTGCGAGAGCAGCAAGCACTCCTGACCACTGAGCACTTTCTAGCCCTCAGTTTTTCCTTTAAACAGCACATCTGGCAATGACAAAACCCAAACTAGCCAACTCTGAGGGGCTTCCAGGAGACAGTCTGGTTCTCACACAGATGTGTGTGATGTTTTCCTCATCACAGAAGTCTCTAAAACCTTGACCCTGTTGTCTGTTTGTTACTAAAGGCATGTTGGCAGTATCAAGTGGTCAAATTTGGTTTCTTTCTTTTTTCACATATGCCAAAAGTAATGGGCATGACAAAGGTCGCTGGCATGTCCCAAAATCTGCAAGAGCTTTTGATAAATATATAATAAGGTCTTAGCTTGTCGCACCTGCTGTGCGGCCTGCATCCGAGAATGTAGCGAGGTGGTACAGAGGTGGTAGCGAGGGATAGATGACACAGAGACCGGTCGGTTGCTTTAAGAAAACTTTATCTTCCCAAGTCAGTTTAGGAGAGCTCTCAGGAGAAATCTCAGGAGAAGTCTCTGGCGAAATCTCTGGAGAAGTCTCCCTAAGAAAAAGGAGCTTGCCTTTTTAAGGACTTTTGCCATCCATTTACATACCATTTCTTTCCACTTCTCACCCTCCTGGCTGGTGGTTTAATCTCCGGCCCCAGAATCGGGGAGACACCACAGGGGGCAGGAAGAGGCATCTAGCCATAGGAGGTGTGGAAGGCATGGTATTTCAGTGAGCCAGCCCTATCTGAGCCCTATCAAGCTTTAAAGCACTGAATTGTTTTCAGTAAACAATACATAGATGCCTGCTCCCAGGCCAAAGGGGAAGTGGGTTTCTGCTCAAGGTCTGGTGTCCCCACATTAGCTTCCAGTAATAAACCATCCACTACTAACACTATCTTTTTCTTCCATAGTGTGACTCAGAATAGTGGGAGTTCACAGAATAAGAAATGTATATTTTTTAATAAACATAAATTATTAATAAAACAGTTTTGTTTTATCTAAATGAATAGTGGTATTCTATTTTTTTTCTTTCTACTCTCAAGGAATCTCCTTAGGAAGGACGCACCACATTGGTCCCAAGTCCAGTTAGGGAACCCAGGTTTCCTATTTCACAAAGCCTACTGAAACTGTGTATTTGAACTTATAGTTTGTATTCTAGAACCAAATGCCTAAGGGCCCTGAATCTTCCACTGTGGCCTCCATTCCTCCAGAGAAGGTAGCCCTGTAAGATTGACCCTGTCCTCACCTGATGCCCTGTGCATTTACCTGTGTGTGGCCAAGATCTAATTTTCATCCATCGCTATCCTCCTCTTCCTCCTTCTCCCCTTCCTTCTCCTCCTTGTCCTTCCTCCCCATCTTCCGTCTTATTTGAGACATACAGGGTAGGGCATCACTGTATCTTTGGCTAGACTGGAACCCATCTGCCTTTGCACCCTAATAGCTAGGATCAAAGAGGTGTACCACCACACCCAACATCAACATCATTAAATCGTGTGAATTTTTGCTTGTGTGTTTTAGGGTCTTTTACTTTTGTTTTTGTTTTATTTTTATGATGCAATCCCTGGGGTCCTCTGGCCAGCTAGCTTTCCCTAATCTGTGAGTCCCAGGTCCAAAAGAGAGACATTCTCTCAAAAAAAAAAAAAAAACCTCTGGAAAGTGTCTGAGGAATGACATCCAAGGTTTACCTCTGGCCTCCACAAACACACAGATACCTTGTACACACACGTGAACACACACCTGCACATGGACAAAGAGACTAGGAGCTCATATGGGCAGAGTTGAGCCTTCTGTATTCCAGGTAGCTTCAAGTTGCTTTAAATCGGTTCTGTTTGCCCTGATTGAATCACATACAATTCTCTCATAGGTTTCCCTCTTCTTCTCATGAGGTAAATGAGCTATGGTAAAGAAAGGACTGTTGGCTTGTTCACCTGTAAAAACAATGGAGGATTTTCCTGTCAGCTTTTAATGTCCCACAAAAATTCAGTGTCTCTGGATGCAGAGAAAATAATTCATTTGTTTGTTTTGAACACACGCTAGGCAAGAGCTCTGTCACTCAGTCCTGAAAAAGAATGAAGATAGTGGTACATACTTTTTGTTCCAGAATTCAGGAGGGAGAGGTGAGAAGTTCTTTGTGATCCAAAAGGCAGCCTGGTCTAACTACTGAGTTCCACTCTAGTTAAGGGTTGAATACTGTGACCCTATATTAAAATTTATATATATATATATAGATATATACGTGTATATACACATAATAGTGTACATACACACACACATGCGGGGTGGGGCAGGTCCCAACCATAAAAATGGCTGGCTCACAGCCAGGCAGAAGAGAGCTTTAGTGAGAATGAGTGCAGACAAGTCTATGTTCATTTAGCCAAGCCTGCAGCTGCACTTAATGCATTCTCTGTTCTTTTTCAGACATAAAAGGCTTCCTCTCTTCAAGGGCCAGAGAGTCAAGTGCAACCAGTGCTCTGAGTCTTCCCTTCCTGCTGCTCTGCGTCCTCCTGCAGGCTATGGCTGGTGAAGGCTGAGGCTCCTAAGCGCAGTGACAGAGTCTATGGGGCTGCAGGGAGTCGCCCCTGATTGCATGGGGCGCCCCAGCATGCCAGCAGGAAAGCTGGGCAGTGGGCATCTGCATGGATGTTGTGTGCTGGAAATAACAGAGTCCCTGAAGGATGATGGATCCTTGTGCTGAGCAATAAACATGTTCAACAGTGAGCCCTCCTTGCTTGTTGAGCCTCTTTTCAAGATCTCCAGTAGAGGCAAACTTCATTGTGAGAGCCTAGTATGTTCCACCCGGACTCCCTTTCTGAAGGTTTCAGAGTAGAGACTGAGCAGGATTGAATGAGACCCCCAAACAAACGGCCCCTCCCAGGTGACAGCCACTCTGAACAGCCTGGACCCTCACTTGTATGTCTCACTGCTGAGTCTCCCTGTCACCCACAGGTCACTGTCAGTCTCTCCAGAAGGACCTCTGAGCCCATGGGAGAGGGATGGCGGGTCCTGAACACTGCTCTGGGTTTTACAAAAGCCAACAGCCAATATGCTGTGTGTGTATTCAAAGGAAGACAGAATGGGCTGGAAGCAAGCATCCTGGCACCTGCCTCTTCATTAGCAGTAATCAGTCCATTTTGGGGGGTTCACATCATCTCTCTAAAATATATGCATATATAAAATGAGGAGTTTAAATGGTGCTAACATGTTATCTCAAGGGATACCACCTCTAGATATTATATGATTACAAATAAAATCCCCAGTACCAGGAACAGGTTACATCTTTGGAACTGTTGGTAAATGGGATCGCATAAACATCCCAAACGTACAGACAATTGCCAATGCTATTGGTTTCTATCCACAGCTTGAGGTAAGGCCCTATTGCTGGAGACACCACATTCTTATGCCATAGAACATGGAGACATTTAGCTGGTACCCAACCGGGAGCTTCACCCCTACTGGCTAGTGTTCACAGGGTTGTAAGGTGCTATTCAGGCTACTGGAGGAGAAAAGTTATTAATCTCACCGATTGTGAGCCCTCAAACAGTAATAATGACTGCCTACCAAGAAATACTCTCCTGTGGTGCAATTGTGGAAAAATGTCACGGAAGTAACCAACTCTTTTCTGAAACTGGGTTTAAGAACCACTCTATGAGTTGGAACCCATATCTGACACTGTCAATAAGGGCAATAACCTGAGACTAGATAGGTCATAAGCCCTAAGGGAGAACTTACTATTATTATTCTTCTAGATGACATAGCAATAAAACCATAAAGATACAGCTCATAAGGACCTATTGCTATACTCACAGATATGACACTGTCTATAACACCTGATTTGTCTAATAAAGAGCTGAACGACCCACAGCTAGGCAGGAGAGGGACAGGCAGGGCTGGCAGGCTGAGAGAATAAATAGAGGGAGGAAAAGAGAAGAGGAGGACTAAGAAAAGAAGGGGAAGAGGACGCCAGGACCAGCCACCGAGCCACTCAGTCACATACGGAGTAAGAACAAAAGAAAAGACATATAAAAATAGAGACAGGTAATAGCCCAGAGGAAAAAGGTAGACAGGATAATTTAAAAGAAAATGTAGCTAGAAATAAGCCAAGTTAAGACTGGGAATGTACAAGTAATAATAAATCTCTGTGTAATTATTTGGGATCTGTGTGGCAGGCCCCCAAAGAGAAAAGAGAAAAAGTAAAAACAACCAACTACACAGCAGCCCACAGTTGAGAGGTATTGGATATTTTAAACATAGTATTATTATCATTATTTTTAAAAACAGGATCTCTCTGTGTAGCCATGGCTGTCCTGGAACTTCCTTTATAGCCCAGGCAGGCATTGAACTCACAGAGATCTGCCTCTGCCTCTCCCAAGTGCTGGGATGAAAGGTATGTACCACCATGCCTTGGGTCTCTAGGTATTTTAAAGAGATTCTAGGCTAGAGTTGATGAGATGACTCAGCGGTTAAGAACATTGACTGTTCTTCCAGAGGACCAGGGTTCAATTCCCAGTACCCACATGCAACTTATAACTCTCTGTAACTCCAGTTCCCAGAGATCTGGCATCCTCACACATATAGACAAAATACCAATACACATAAAGTAAAAAATAGAGAAAAAATGCTACTTTTAAAAGAGAGAGAGAGAGAGTCTGGACTATTAAAGCACTGATGTTTTTTAAAGACTGTGAGACTTTAAGGTTGTGCTATATTTCATAGTATTATATTATATATTATTATATTAACCTGAGATCTTGGGGACAAACAAGAAAGGAAAGGTTAGGGTTTGACAGTGATAAGTTTATGTGTCGCATTAATGAGTGGAGTTGTGATCATTCACCTTTGCTGTCAACTTGACACCTTAGGAGCAGGGAACCTCAGCTGAGGAACTGTCTCCTTCAATTGGCCTGTGGCATGTTTGTCAGGTGTTTTCTTGATTGCTAATTGATGTAAGAGCATCCATCTGCCGGTGGTGAAGCCACCTCTGGGCAGGTGAGTCTGGGCTATGTAAGAAAGCTAACCGTACATGAGACAGAGACAGAAAGCCAACCAGCATCTTTCTCCTAGGATCCTGTTTCTGCCCATTCTTGAGTAGCTGCCTTGACTTCCCTCAGTGGTGGACTATGATTGGGAAATGTAAGCCAAATAAACCCTTTCCTCCCCAAATGGTTTTGGTTGTGATGCTTAGTATAGCATCAGAAATAAAGAAGGGACACCTGCTAATTTATATTAAGAACCATTGTGAATACCTTTCTACTATGTGTAAAGTTCATATTTACAAGGTTTCTATGCACGGACACAAGTTGAAAGCATGCTAAAATGACAAAAGTGCATTAGGAGATGAAAAGACACACTGTCTCAATTTTAATAGCTTCATTCAGAAACTGGGCTAAGCTAATTTTACATCAGAGGCAGTGGCTACAAATGTGACAGAAAGTCACTCCTCATTAGTGTGAGTAATTAGGTTTAAAGCTCTTACCTTGAACTAGAAAACTAAGAAACCGAAGTATGGGTGTTTCTAGTAGAATCCCTCCTCCCCCACTTACACACCACTGTAACCATCCTTTTCCCACTGTAAGTGTGTGTGTGTTCTCAACTCTGGGGCAGAACCCAGAGCCTCCCTGCTAAGTAAACACTCTGCTTCTCAGCCGTACCTCACTCCACAGTCTGTGATTTTAAGAAAGAAACCCAAAGTCCCGTCCACCCATCCATCCATCCATGTACCTGCTCGTTATCTACTGCCTAACTGGGAAACCTCTAGAAGCTCAGCTCTGAAGAGGATGCAAAATCTCGTGCACGAACTGTTCCACATCAGCCCCTGCTTCTGTGGTGCTTGGAGAATTTGAGAATACAAAGCATTTCCCTTGTGCATGGTACACCAGGTGTCCATAAACAACACCAAGAAAGACTTCCCAGGAAATAAGAGCCTTCCTGAGTCAAGGCAAGCCTTCCATGCTCCAGGAAATAAGCCCCACCCACAGGCATACAAGCACCTTATTAAACTCCCTGTCACTCACCTATGGAAACCCTGAACAGAGGAAGGGGTCTTGTTAGGAAAAGGAAACTTCAGGAAACTAGAGAGGGGCTAAAAGAGGAGGATGGGGATGAGAAAGATTACATTTATTACACGGATGTATGAAACTGTGAAAAGAATAAAATAAACGCACAGATAAGAAGAGAAAAAGAATGAAGAGAAAGGGAAGAAATTGGTTTTCTTGAGTTTGTAGGAAGCACATGGTTTGAATAGCCCTCCCAGCCTGACCTGGCTCTGTGCTGGTGTGGCTGTGAAAGGCCAGAGATCATGGCCTTGCTCCTGGGACATCTGGCCCTGCCTTTCTCTCTCCATGGGGTCCTCATCTCTCACAGCCAGGGCTGAGACTGTGCTGGGGTTGAGTCTGTTTCTCAGTAGAGGGAGAACAGTAAATCAGTTCAGAGAGCACAACTACCACCCTCTACAGTCTATAGTCATGCCCTGCAAGTAACTTATGTGTTCACGTTCAGCTGGTTGTAACATTACCTGAGCTGCTGAGATGGCTCCGTGGGTAAAGGTGCTGGCTGTCCAGTCTGGAGGCCTGAGTTCGCTCCCTAGGAACCCCAGAGTGGAAGGAGAAGACCGGGTCCAGGGGATGTCTTCCTGACCTCCACGTGGGTGCTATTGCATTGCTCCAACACAAATACATCAATTTAATTAAAATCAAGTTTTATTCAACTATGCACATTTTAAATTATCTCTTTTATTACTTTGATTTCATTTACTTTTTATTAATAGTGTTCCTTTGTTTTGTTTTTGTTTTTCAAGACAGGGTTTCTCTGTGTAACAGTTGGCTGTCCTGGAACTCACTTTGTAGACCAGACTGGCCTCGACCTCAGAGATCTGCCTGCCTGTTCCTCCTGACAGCTGGGATTAAAGGCCTGTGGCACCACTGCCCAGCTCACTTTTGAGTACTTACACTGAGAATCATTTTAGTTTCTCATTGTTTATTTCCACGGGGATTATCTTTGATTTTGTTATTCCCATTTAGGCCGTCTGACTTTAGAGTTGCTCCCTTAATTCTTCGACTGCTTTGCAGAGGCATGGTGGGATGGAGGCAGCTCAGTTTCAGTTTCTTTTCTTTTTTTTAAGATTCATTACATATACAGTGCTCTGTCTACATGCCAGAAAAGGGCACCAGATTGAATTGTAGATGGTTGTGAGCCACCATGTGGTTGCTGGGAATTGAACTCAGGACCCCTGATAAAGCAATCGATGCTCTTAACCTCTAAGCCATCTCTCCAGCCCCCAGTTTCAGTTTTAAAGGCTTGCACTGTGGAGTGTTCCGCACCATGGACCAAACCCACCAAGCACCCAGGAAGTGCTCCCCACAAGCCAGGCTGGTGGATTCGTGTTTCTGGTTCTTCCTCCTCCCATTCACCGAGACCCAGAATTCTATGTAGCCATCAGCAAACGGCTCTTTCCATAACCAGGCCCAGACACCTGGCCCTGAGTGCATCCCTGCTTATGTCACAGGAACTCATGTATGGTCAGTAAAGATTTGTCCAGGCTGCATGCAATGCCACTATTTGAGGTAGACAGAACTCTGAAAAAGTTTCAGCATTTTGTAAAAAATTGATGTGCTTGTAAAACAGGTCAACCATAGTATACATGAGTTCCTCTTCTTTTTGTTCCTGTTCTTCTGGTTTTATTTATTCTTTGAGAATTTTATATAATATTTCATGATCATATTCTTTCCCCTCTCCAACTCCTCAAGATCCCCCTCCATCTCCTTACCTACTCAACTATTTTCTCTCTCTTAAAACACACACACACATTACACATATATACCACACACACACACCATACCACATACATATCATACCACACACCATACACACCACACACATACCATACCACACACCATACACACCACACACATACCATACCACACACCATACACACCACACACACACATACCACACACACACATACATATACACACATACACACCTACATACACACACCACACACAAACACACACACCTCACACACACACACACACTACATACACACACCACACTCACACACACACACACACACACACACGCACGCACACACGAGCTTCTACTACAGCAGTGGGTTTCCATATGGCTTCTCAAAAGGCCTTTAGTGTTATCCCTCTCCATATTCTCTCCTCTACACTGCACTCCCATCCCCTACCCCGACTTAATCCTCCTGTTCTAATTTCCCCTTTATCCTTTATCCCTTTATACTCTGTGGCTCTTCTTACTGAGACCCTTGAAAACATACCCAAGGATTATAATGTGGTCCAAAACCCACAAATGTTGACTCCTCCAAATGAAAAGGCTCACACTACCAAATTTCAGAGTTGCCCTCCCAGCTTCCTGGAGCATCCTGTTGCTCCTGCTCCACCCACTTGGTAGCAGAGTTGGAAATCATTCACAGTTGCACCACCAACCCCTATACAGCAACTCTCCCACCAAAAATCATTCACAGATGCACCACCAACCCCCTATCAACATCTCTCCTACCAAAAATCATTCACAGATGCACCACCACCCCTATACATCCAACTCTCCCACCAAAATCATTCACAGATGTACCACAACCTCCTATACAGCAACTCTCCTATCAAAATCATTCACAGATGCATCACCACCCCCTATACAGCATCTCTCCTACCAAAAATCATTCACAGATGCACCAACCCCCTATTAACATCTCTCCTCCCAAAAATCATTCACAGATGCACCACCACCCCCTATACAGCAACTCTCCTACCAAAAATCATTCACAGATGCACCACCACCCCCTATACAGCAACTCTCCTATCAAAACCAGAGCTTTTTTTAAATTTAACTTTATTTTGTGTGCATTGGTATGATGGTGTCAGTTCCCCTGGAAGTATAGATACAGACAGTTAGAAACTGCTGTATGGGTGCTGGGAATTGAACCCAGGAAGAGCAGCTAGTGCTCTTAACTGCTGAGCCACCTCTCTGGCCCCAAAACAAGAGCTTTTACACCCTCATGAGACCCTTCAAATAAAATATGATCCATGCAACCTTGTAGAGGTGGCTTATGCTAACATCTTCCAGTACATTCTAGTACTGAATGTAGTATATGGCACAGCAGATCAATTTAGGTCTACGAGTGTGCCTCAAGTTGAGTGCCACCAGCTTTGTTTGTAAGACAAAGTTTTACTCTATAGGCCAGGCTGACCTTGAACTTCCGTCTTCCTTCATTAATCTACACAGTGCTGGGATTACCAATATGTACCAATAGGGTTTCTGGTTCTGATTTAGGGTGTTTTCTTCCCATTTGTGGGTAGTTACACATCCTGGTCATGCCTTTTGGAAAAGCTAATCCTGGCCTGTGGTTTTGCTCTCAGCAAGGATGAACACTATCCGTAGAGAGCTCTGCACATACTTCGGCAACACAGATGGCTACTGTAAAGAACAGCCAGACATATATGGAGGCTGCCCATACTGGTCTTCCCAATATCTTCTACCATGTGTATATTCTCTCTTGAGTCCCTCCTGTATCCATGAAATGGGGTGCTTCACACCTACATCCTAGACCCATGGGATCCCAGGTGGGAATCGATGGTTCTACCATTCTTTCAGCCCCTAGCACCCAGTGGACAAGATTAAGATGCAGAGAAAATATGTCCCAATTACTGGACCTCTGAAGATAGGAGAGATAGAAGAGGTGATTCAACACTCCTCCAAGGCCATACCCTCTCTAAGGTTCCATCTCCTAAAATAACACAGACCTGTCATTTTGTCTCCTGCTTCAGACTTTGACCTCAGCTTACCAGCTCCTAAATGTCACCCTACATGGCTGCTTTGGGGATTGCTGGCTGCCTGTTCCCCGCAGGACTTGCTCAAAACTGCCTCTTACAGCCTCTTCTGTAACTTCATCAAATAACCTCACCTCCCCACTCACTAGCTGTCCCAAGTCCAGTATTTTCCACCACGCCCTCTTTGGCATGCTTTAAGTCATCTAGGACACACTTTGTAGGGCTGTTCAATTCCTTAGACTGAAATAAACCCTAAGCCTTGATGTCTGCCCTCAGCCCCAAAGCCCCAACATCATAATGCTTTGACTCCCTCCATTATTCAATGTTTGACTGAAACCTCCAACTCTGCCCCATTACTCTCTCTGCAAACCCCAAGCTCACAGAAAAACGGCCAAACGTCATCTCTGGGGACTGGAAAGGTCGCCTTGGAGTGCTTTGCCCTACAGGCCTGATCTTTTGCTTTTAATTCTGCTTGCGCTGGCTTTCTATGTTGGCTGGTGGAGAAACATAATATCGGGGTATGGATACTTTTCACTCAAGTCTACCATTGCCTACCTTCTAAATGGTCAGGAGTTTGCAAGCTAGTATTACTCTTCCCCAAGTTGAAAGGTGATGCATGGGAAAGAACCCCTGCTGATTCTGGTTGTGGACTCAATAGCTACCCCACATAATAGAAGAGCAGTTCAAATGCCGCCCCTCAGGCCATTGCAGGAACAACTGTGGGTGTTGCCAGTGGGACTGATCACCTCTCTGAGCAGGTATCACCAGTTTTCTTGCCAGTTCATCCAGGACCTCCAACATGCAACCCATGCCATACTCACCCTTCAAGGACAAATTGGTTCCATGGCAGTGGTGATACTCCAGAATAATAGGGACCAGAACTGAAAGAAAGTGCCCCATTGCCTCTTCCTCCGGGAAGGGTTCTTCTTCTTCTTCTTCTTCTTCTTCTTCTTCTTCTTCTTCTTCTTCTTCTTCTTCTTCTTCTTCTTCTTCTTCTTCTTTTGTTTTTGTTTTCGTTTTTCAAGGCAGGGTTTCCCTGTGTGTAGCCCTGGCTGTCCTGAAATCATTCTTTAGACTACACTGGCCTCAAACTCAGCCTGCCTCTGCCTCCTAAGTGCTGGGATCAAAGGAGTGCGTCACCACTGCCAGAATGCTGCTTCTATGTCAATCAATCTGGTGCAGTATAAAACAGCATCCAGCAACTTCCAACAGACCTCTAAAAATGTCAGGAACAACTAGATGCCTCCGGTCTCTGGGCCTTTGAGAACTCCGTAAGGAATTGGATACTCCCCTTCTTGCTGCCCCCCCTTTTCGTTTTCCTGCTTTTACTACTCCCACCCTGCCTTATCAGTTTCCTCTATACGTTTCTCCAATGACGAAATTAAAAGAAAATCTCTAATCAGCTATTGTTACAGGGTATCATTATCCACAGAGCAGGAGAGTTATGTCCTGACGGTGAGGACCAACAGTACTCCAGAGATGTGGATGCCCCTAGTCAACGGGGAACCCTCGAAAGAGCACAGCAACCCCATTCCCGCCACACCAGTCACCCCTTGCTATTTCCTTGCCTTTTGTAATAAACAAGAAGGAGTAATGTTGGTAAACGGAAAACTACCCACATGCCAGAACCAGGTGACCCCAGTCCCCCACCGTACCTTCAGTGACAGAGCTCCAGCCGTCCCATCCTCACTAGCTGCCTGTCACTAGTGATGTTTTCTGTATGTGAATGCTCCTTATCCCTCCTACAGCCTGCACCTGCCTTCACAGCATACTCTCTAGCTTTTCCACCCCTGCTCAGGGGCAGCCTTTTGTACACTCCTCTCCTGCAGTAAATCCCCCTGAGAGGTCTATTGTGTGGTGTGATCTTGTGGCATTCCTTGGCCCTCCAATCACTGCAAGATGCATCACCAAGGGCTTAAAGGTTTGAAACCGTGAGCCAAATTAACAAGCTTGTCACTTTTCACATAGATTCCTCCAGGGATTTGTCACAGTGATGGAAACTTAGTACTAGAGCCAGGACCCATTCTAGGCACAGGAAGAAAAGAAAGGAGAGACGGGAGGAGCAAGGGAGGGAGGGAGGGAGGGAGGGACAGAGGGGAACCTGCAGAGAGGGAGGAAGGAGCAGGATGCACACTGGGAATCTTCACATTAGCAGCAGAGGGCTTTGAACCTGCACAGCAAGCTGACTATGTATACAAGAGTTATTTTGTTCCCACCTGCTGAGAAGGGCCTGGGATATTCAAACAGGCTGGCAAAGGATTGCTCAAAATACCTGGATTTCTCCAAGGGCATCATTGGTCCACAGAGAACCCAGGAGCTCCCCATCTACAGTTCATGTGGAAGGGGGAGACTGCGGTGTGGAGCCCCAGTGAACTCCTATGTAGGCTGAATAGGATTTTGGGTGATTAACGCTAAACCAGTCATTCCCAGGTCTGCCAGGCCTCAGCCAGTGCAGGCCGAAGCAAGGACACAAGGACTGTGGGCTGGGCGTGTCAGACAAGGGGGGTTGGGGTATGGAGGTATAATATTAGGATGATTGCTGTCCCTTGCTGAAGAGCTTAGAGGTGACAGACCTCTGAGACCCTCACAGCTCACTGTCAAACTCTCAGAAGCACTTTTGTGACCTTGAGCTTGCAAGAGGTCCCCATCCCTAAATGGGGGCTTGCTCCAGGAACACAAGCTGCAGCCACAGATGAGGACTTGGCCCAATCCAGTGGCTCATTCTTCTGAAAGAACACACAGCCTCAGGGGGCGGGGGTGGACTACAGTCTCTGGAAGCCAGCTGGGAGAGAGTCAGCTCCTATACTGGTAGGCCAGCTCCCTGGCTGTCTCAACCACTGTCCCTGCCTGGGGAGGAGGTGGCCTTCTGATACTGTAGAATGGGAAGCCTGGTGGGATATAGGGGCTTGGACAAAAGAAAAAGGATCCAGAAGTTTGTTCAGTTGTTTTATTCTGTCAGGCCTGGAGCAGGGGTAACCTCAGATAGACAGATGAGCATTCAAGGTGGTGCTCGGTGACAAGGTTGATGAGACCATGACAGCTGGCATACCTCTGTAGGGCCATCACAGAATCTGGAGCCAAATCAACTGCAGAAAGAGGACTTGAGAAAACAGCAGAGTTATGCAGATCCTGGGTTTGTTGGTAGAACCATTGCCATAATTCCTCCAGCCTACCATACTGGGGGCACTCTCCTCAGGGGGCGCGGAGGAGGGGTCGGCGTCAGGCGTTTCTTCTTTTTCTTCTTGATCCAGTCGGAAAAGTAGGAGACATTGGTGAAAATGTTGGGCCTGGAAATTGGCTGGAGACATGCCCCCTTCCAGCTGGCCAGCCCGACCACATACCAGTAGTCATTCACTGAGCAGACAAGGGGACCTCCCGAGTCTCCCTGAACAGAGAGGAAACAGCTAGGAGGCCCAGGAAGGAAGGAACACACATTGCCCAGGGCAGAAAGGACTCACTGGGGACCAGAGATCTCTCCAGATATCTTGAGTGGTACCCATTGGGTCCCCAGAGGCTTGTCTTTTTGTTTGTTTGTTTTTTAATTAAAACAGAGGAGACCTCTCTGGTCAGTATCCTCAGGACAGGATCATAGAGTTTTACTTAATAAAGCGGCAAAGGGATCCCCTACAGTACCTTCCTGGGCACTCACAAATTTTTAGTATGTGGATGGAAACCATAACAGCTGAACATCTGTCCCACCACCCACACGGGAGAGGAAGCCTCTAAGGACACACAGGGGGGCCTGCTGGCCAGGATTAGAGAGGCGACTGAGCACAACAGCAGTGTTGGAGCCATCCTAACTTACTCGGCAGATGGACTTTCCTTGGCTGATGTCGCCGGCACATAGCATATCATCTTTCATAACTTTATATTTAATGATGCTGGTTTCGGGAGTCTGGAAAAAGGCTTCACATTTCGTGTTATCCATAAGGAAGACCTTTGCCTCCTGCAGAGGGAAAGGTGACTGCAGGAACACTGTGGGAAGGGATTCCGTTGTGAGACACAGCTGAGTGAAGACTACACTCACCTCCCAGGGTGATGGCTGGGGCAGGGGCAGCCACTCTAGACCACAGTGGCAGGGAAGGGCTCACGACGGGCACAAAGTGACCAGGGGAAATGGCATTCAAGAGCAAGCAGAGGGCCATGGAAGGCAGGGGCAGGCTGGGAATGACTGCACAGGTCCCAGTGTGGGGACCTCAAACAGAGCCGCCTCACCAGTCTAGGGGACTGAAACTGTACCCTGAGGTCAGAGAAGCCAAGGAAGGGGCAAGCCAGCTGTCAAACAGCTCTGGCTGCCCTGTGGGGACCAAACTGCATGCAGGGACTCTGGAGCCTGAATGCAGCAGTGACACAGCTCCCCAGAAATGTTGGCGAGCCTGGCAACATTGACCAATCACAAGGGTCAGCTGGTCTGTTTGCAAGGGCTCTCCCAGATCCAGGCGGGGTCATCTCCTGGGAGCAGACTGACAACAGCATGGCTCGCTTCATGCGGGGGCCACAGTGCACATCCCACAAGGCTGGTCAGGGACTGCCTATGTGCAGCAAACCGGAGCCTGGCCCCAGGCCCCGCAACCATGAGGGCATGGCAGAAGATGGCTGAAGGTCCAGTCTCTTAGGGAGGCCAGGTCCTCTGCTCTGAGAGCTGCCCCAGCCACACCTTCCCTCTGTGCCCCACTCTCATCGCCTGGCCGGACCTGAAGACTCTACCTGCCCTGACATAGGCTCTTAGAGAGTGAAAGTCCATCCCTTCCAATGCTGGTGTTCTGGTGACCAGCCTGTGGGACTGACACTTAGCGACTAGGAGCAGGGATGGGGACCCTAACTCTGACCTCAGGGAAAGTACCTGTAAGCCTCCTCAGGGCTGTTTTGCCAGACTGTGACCCTAAATTTCACACCAAATTTTTATTTGCTTTATTTAACTTGCCATTATGTTGTCCTAAACCAAAAGCATCTCGTGTCAAATCCTTGCCAAGGAATTCTACTCCCAATCTAAACATCTACAGCTGTCCCTTGCTGTCAGCAGGCTCTTCCTGTGGCCCAGGATGCCAGAGTCCAAAGACACCGAATTCCCTCTGCATAGGAGAACCTGTGCATGTCTCCCTGCACACCTGAGATCATCTCTAGATGACACAATAGCTGACACAAGGCAAATGTGATACAGATAGTCACAATGCTGTGTTGTTTAAGGAATCAGGACAAGGAGAACGTCACTCCCAACACTCAGGCTTTTGGTCCACAGGTGACTGGATCCACATGTATACAGGTTGCACAAGCTGGTGGACCAGGCAGTTTTCCCTTAAGGGTTGGCAGTGGAGTTCTCAGAGGTGAATGGTCCCCAGTTACACACCCAACCTGCCCCGTGCCAGGTCACTCTCATCTTCTCAAGGACACCCTGTGTCTTTCCTGGCCAGGGCAGAGCAACCACTGTTTGCTGAGTGCCCTGCAGTGCCCAGGGTCAAGCATGCTGAGAGCTCTGGAGTCAGAGAGCCCACACCTGTGTTCTGAATGATAGAGACTTGCATTTGAACCGGGAACTGAGCTTCCCAACCACAGGAAAGGTCTCCACAGTGTCTTGCCCCTCCCTCTCTTCGCCTGCACTGTGTACTCACCATTCTCTCTGAGATTCCCCCAGCCACTTATCCAGCAGAACCTATCAAGGGGCACCTTCGTGGTGCTGTCTGGTACGCAGGCGGGGAAGATGTGGGAACTGAACACCACAGGCCTGTGAAGCTGAATCAGGACAATGTCATTCCCCCGTGTGTAGAACTTCTTATATTTCTCGTGGAAGATGAGCTTATTCACTGTCATCTGCCGGCTGTAATTGGTGGGACTGCTCAGCTCGTTGTACCCTAGCAGGATCCGGTAGTCAGATGGTTTCTTCGACCTATTGGAGGGCAGCCCCTTTGAGGGTGGAGCCGGCACCATCACCCTGATTACCCGCCCACCCTGCAGCAACCACACCACAGGTCTCATCCTTTTAATCCTCCCCTCGCCCTTCTGAAGGGCAGGATGACCTCCAACAGCCTGAGGACTTTGGTCCTTTGAAGGCTTCCAATCACGTCTCCAGCATACCCTAGTATCCAAGGAGCTGCGGATTTCATTAAAAGCTATTTGAGGTACATCCAACTGCTCTGCTTCATCTTGGAGGCAGAAAGACTGACCAGCCCTGACCAGATCCCTCTTAGGGCTGTGTGAGAATTGCTTTTCTCAGAGCTCCTAGGAATACCTAGAAGGGGAAATATGTCTCCCAACACTGGGCCATCTTCTTGTTCCTTTGTTTGAGGGATGACAATCTGGGTGCAAGGCACCAGTCCAGGGCAGGGCAACAGCACAGAGGACTCCCGCTGGCAGCAAGGTATCCCAGAACACAGCCCACAAGGAAATGGCTGCTGTGTACCCTTCGCCTCTCTTCCTTCCCTCCTAGTGACTCTCTCCCTTCCCAGCAGAAGGGCCCGGGGGCCGGGGGCCCGGGGGGGGTCGGGGAGCAGAGCACGCACCTTTGGAAGCAGTGGGCAGCGCTTGCTACCCAGTTTTTGTCGATGAGAACTGCTCCGCAGATATGAGCGTTCCGAAAGAGCAGACTGGCCTGCCATGGCCACCGCTCAGGGGCTGCCATCTGACCGCCAAAGATCTTCCCTTGGAATTTGGTCCTGCCACATACTGTGGAGACAATCCCAGGATGCACGTGCTTGGTGCCCCAAATGTCAGCATCAGCAGGACCCGGGGGACGCAATGGCCTCTTTTCTCCCTTTTCAGGCAGCTTAGCCAAGGTCAAGAGTGGAATAGCTCATGTGACAAAGAGCCTCTTGGATGGCAGGTGTAGGGTGTGTCAGGCTGAGAGCCACGCAAGCAAGGCCCACAGAACCAGAGGTGCAGGGCCAAGGGGAGGATGCTGCCGGGCTCTCCTCAGTCCTTATTAACTTGAGAAGCACAGCTGAGGAGGCAGAAAGCGGGGCTGACAGAGACCGTTATCGCTCAGGGTCATGGTCCTTTGGATGAGTGTGGCCTCCCATCTCAACCCAATGAAGAGCATGACCTTGACCCTGAAGTGAGTGGTCTAGTGGTGGATGGGAAAGAGTCAGCGGAGGATGTGGGTATCCTGTAAACCCTCCAAACTGTCTACGTACGGAGGGAAAGGGAAGGCACATGCCCACCTGAAACCTGCACCCTCTTCGGGCTAGAGCACTCACCTTTTGACAGGGAATTTGGGCCTTTTGGTATGGGCCAGGCGTCCAACGTGGGTGGGTTTCTTAGCGGGGCCGTGTAATCCTGGGCATGTATTGGCAAGAGGCTGAAACAGAGTAGTAAGGCAGCCCCCAGGCAGGCTCTTCTCCCACCCTGGCCCGATTGCTGGGCCCTGGTGCCCCGCATCTGGCCGCCCTGCCTCTGGGTCCCAGACAGGACCGGAAGCGCGTGCAGACAACCGCTGACGCCGGCAAACCGACTCTAGGGAGCATGTGTCACCCATCACGACCTGAACTGAGCAAGTGCACTAAAAACCTGGATCCACGGGAGGCAGTCGGCATTAGAGCAAGTTTTAGCCTCAGGATCTCTTCTCTGGCTTTCACAGACCTGTGCGCCTCCTTGGGGACAAAAGAATTCACTGCATCCCAGATCCAGACCGGAACCACCTCACTGGCTCATCAAAGTTCCCAGAGTCATCAGCTACCTCCTCTGAGGGCTATGTGTGGATGAGAGTCGCCCCCCCCCAGTTCTACAAACTAAACGTTCCCAACGTGCCTGCTGGGACTCGCATTGGATAAGCTACGTTCATATGCAAAAGGTAGGTAGGTCAATGAAGAAAATACAAGGGAGGTGCTGGTTTAGAGTAGGTTTTATGCTCTACTGGGCAAACTCATTAGAGTTCAAGGCCTGGGGAAAGCATTCTCTGGGACTCACTGTCCGCTTTGGGATTTTTTTGTTTTGTTGTTTAAGACGTATTTATTTATTATGTATACAGTGTTCTGTCTGCATGTATCCTTGCAGGCCAGAAGAGGGCACCAGATCTCATTATAGACGGTTGTGAACCAACATGCAGTTGCTGATAATTGAAGTCTAAACCTTTGAAAAACAGCGGGTGCTCTTAACCTCTGAGCCATCTCACCAGCCGCTCCGTTATAAATCTTTATAAGCAAAAGCACTAGTAACCACATAACAGTGTCTATACTAGACTATTTTGAGACATATTCTCCCAATGGAATTAACCCAGAATTCTTCACTTTGGACAAAGACAAAAGGCAGTCACCTTCACCAAAATATCACAAGAATGATCTCTATGTAACATACTTAAATATTTCTCCTCTGAAACCTCTTTGTTATCCCCCAATAGGTCAAATAACTCTTAGTACCACTGTTTTCCATGCTCCTAGTAGTCTGGCCCATTAAGCAGCCCTTAAAGCATCCTACTGCCTTCATAACCCAAAGTACCAATGTCCAAATTCCTCCAAATACATGGTCAGGCCTATCACAGCAATGCCCCAGTCCCTGGCACCAACTTCTGCCTTAGTTAGGGTTTTTACTGCTGTGAAGAGACACCATTGTTTGGTTGGAACCTCCAGCTCTACTTCTGTCTCCCTTTCCTCCCTCTCCCTCTCTCTCCCTCCCTCTTCACCTCTATCCAAACCCCAGCCACTTAGAAAGTCTCCAAACAAAAGAAAGGTGCCAAAAATTCCAAATTCTTGGCAGCTAATGCAACTCCCCCTCCCCCAACGTTGCCAGCTGCCGAAGTCCCTACTTAAAGTGCTCAGCTTTTGAAAACACTGCCACTTTGTGGCAGACATGTCATCACCCCTAACCTACAATCTATAAAGTTTCCCTGCTTTTGTTTGTGGGTGTGACTTTTCTAGCCATGATCTCTGGGACTGGAGAATTTACCCAGAGCTGCTTTGCTCAAATAAACCTGTTATACTTTTTCAGTTTGGCTTGCTTTGATTTACTGTGTTGGCAGAGGAACATTAGGGGGGTGGGAGGTTGAAAACCTATTAACCACGACCATAGCAACTCTTATTTTTTGTTTGTTGGTTTTTGTTTTTACGATTTAATTTATTGTGCAGTGTTCTGCCTGCATATATGCCCGCAGGCCAGAAGAGGGCAGCAGATTTTGTTATAGATGGTTGTGAGCACCATGCAGTTGCTGGGAATTGAACTCAAGACCTCTGGAAGAGCAGCCAGTGTTCCTAACCTCTGAGCCATTTCTCCAGCCCTGGCAACGTTTATAAAGGAAAACTTTTAGTTGAGGTAGCTTGCTTACAGTCTCAGAGGTTCCATCCTTTATATCATGGTGGGGAGCACAGCAGATGTGGCCTTGAAGAAATAGCTGAGTCCTACATCTTATAGGCAACAGGAAGTGAACTGACTCACTGGGCAGTATCCTGGACATAGGAAACCTCAAAGCCCATCCCCACAGTGACACACTTCCTCCAGGAAGGCCATACCCACTCCAACAAAACGATACCTCTTAATAGTGCCACTCCTTATGAGATTATGGCGGCCAATCACATTCAAACTACCACACTGTACACAAACACACCCTACACAAACACACCCTACACAAATGACAAAAGGTCTGAGAAAAAAAATCAGGGAAACAACACCCTTTACAGTAGCCACAAATAATATAAAATATGTTAGAGCAACTCTAACCAAGCAAGTGAAAGACTAGTAACACAAAAATTTCAAGTCTTTGAAGAAAGAAATTGAAGAAGATATCAGAAGATGCAAAGATCTGTCATGCTCATGGATCAGTAGGATTAATACAGTAAAAATGGGCTTTTTACCAAAAGCAATCTATAGATTCAATGCAATCCCCATCAAAATTGCAACACAATTCTTTACAGACCTTGAAAGGACAATACTCAATTTCATGTGGAAAAACAAAAAAACCAAGATGGCTAAAACAGTCATGAACAACAAAAGAACTTCCAGAGGTATCACCATCCCTGATTTCAAGCTATGCTATAAAGCTACAGTAAAAAAAATTGTATTGGCATATTGACACAGTATTGACATAAAAACAAACATGTTGACCAACAGAATTGAATGTAAATGTAAATCTATACACCTATGGACACCTGTTTTTTTTTTTTACAAAGAGGTCAGAAAAGGGATACATACACACACACACACACACACACACACACACACACACACACACACACACAAAACCCACTGGAGAAAAGAAAGCATCTTCAACAAATGGTGCTGCTCTAGCTGGATTTCAACATGTAGAAAAAATGCAAATAGATCCAAATCAGTCATCCTGTATAAAACTCAAATCCAAATGAATCAAAGACCTTAACGTAAAATCAGATACAGTGAACATCATAGAAGAGAAAGTGGGGAAAATAGCCTCAAATGCATTGGCACAAGAGACAACTTCTTGAACAGAACACCAATAGCGCAGGAGCTAAGATCAACAATCAATAAATAGGGCCTCATGAAACTGAAAAGCTTATATAAGGCAAAGGACAACTGTCAATAGGACAAAACAGCAGCCCTTAAAATGGGAAAAGACCTTTACCAACTCCACATCTGACAGAGGGCTAATATTCAAATATATAAAGAACTCAAGAAACTAGACATCAAGAAATCAAAAGCCCAATCAAAAAATGAGGTACAGATGTAAACAGGGAATTCTCAACAAATGAATCTCAAATGGCACAGAAACAATTGAAGAAATATTCAAAATCCTTAGCCATCATGGAAAAGCAAATCAAAATGACTCTGAGATACCAACTTACACCTGTCAGATGGCTAAGATCAGAAACACAAGTGACACCTCATGCTGGAGAGGATGTGGATGAAGGGAAATGCTCCTCTGTTGCTTTGGGAGTCACTATGGAAATCAATAGGGAGGTTTCTCAGAAAGTCGGGAATCAATCTACCTCATGATCCAGCTATAACACTCTTGAGCATGTACCCATAGGATGCTCCATCCTACCACAAGGACACCTGCTCAGCCATGCTCAGGCAGCTTTATTCATAATAGCACAAAATTGGAAACAACCTAGATGTCCCTCAACTGAAGAGTGGATAAAGAGTGTGGGGACACCAGACCTTGAACAGAGACCCACTTCCCCTTAGGCCTGGGAGCAGGCAGCTGTGAGATAATGTTTACTGAAAACAATTCAGTGCTATAAAGCTCTTGATAGGGCTCAGATAAGGTCTCTCTCACTGAAACACCATGACTTTGATCCCCCCTAAGGCTAGATGCTTCTTCCTGCTCTCTGTGGTTTCTCCCCGATTCTGGGGCCAGAGATTAAACCACCAGCCAGGAGGGTGAGAAGTCTGGGAGAGCTGAGAGGTGTGTGAGAGTTCGGTTGGAGAATTGTATGTAGATGGATGGCAGAAGTCTTTAAAAAGGGAAGCATTTTTTTCTTGGGGAGCACTCCTAAGCCGACTTGGGGAGCATAAAGTTTTCTTAAAGCAACCGACCGTCTCTGTGTCATCTATCCCGACCACCTTGCTACATTCTCGGATGCAGGCCGCACAGCAGGTGCGACAATTGGAGGATCCCACCGAGATCATGAAAGCGAGGTAAGTGAGCGGGTTCGTCTCTTTTTCTGGCCAGGGACAGATTGGGGAAAAAAGAAAAGAAACCATGGGGAATAATTCCGGGAAGCTTAAATTACAGTATCAAGTTAAAAAGTTACTTGAAGGACATGGGACTACAGTAAAGCCTAAAACCTTAGAAGGTTTTTTAAAATGGATTGAACGTGCGAGTCCATGGTTCATTACTGGGGGAGGCTTAAATGTCCCAGATTGGAAGGATGTTCGCTATGATCTTTAGAGTCAGGTGTTGGTGGCATATGCCTTTAATGCCAACACTCGAGAGACAGAGGTAGGTAGGATGGAGGCCATCCTTGTCTATAGAGCGAGTTCCAGGACAGCCTCCAAAAGGATAGAGAGAAACCCAGTCCAAAAAAAAAAAAAAGGGTAAAATAAGAAATAAAATAAAAAATCTCCAGTCTTTCACCTGATCCACTGAGGTCAGGAAAGTAAAGGAAAACTCAGAGATCTAAAAGGATAGCCAACAAGTAAGGCTATAAGTATGTATTAAAAAGGGGGTACCAAGCTAGGTGTACCAGATTAAATGTCTAGGCCCTTGCCTGACAAAGGTCAGGAAAAAAAGGGAACTGTCGCACCTGCTGTGCAGCCTGCATCCGAGAATGTAGCAAGGTGGTCGGGATAGATGACACAGAGACCGGTCCGTTGCTTTAAGAAAACTTTATGCTTCCCAAGTCAACTTAGGAGGAGCCCCCCAAGAAAAAACTGAGGACTTCTGCCATCCATCTACATACAATTCTTCCCAGACTTCTCACCCTCCTGGCTGGTGGTTTAATCTCTGGCCCCAGAATCGGGGAGAAACCACAGAGAGCAGGAAGAAGCATCTAGCCTTAGGGGGGATCAAAGTCATGGTGTTTCAGTGAGTGAGCCCTTATCTGAGCCCTATCAAGAGCTTTATAGCACTGAATT